AAAGTATACACAAAATACTACATTTTCTTTTGTGGAGCGTGCAATATATGATGATAATTAAATTGAAAATATCATTTTAAATTGAATACATGGTTTTAGTTGTAATAGTAACAAAACAAGACACTTAATCAAGTTAAATTGTCATTTCATTTATGAATTCGATTAGAAGTTGTTTAGCTTTTATGACTAAGAGTGACTCAATTCCAATGTTTCAGTTTGCAATGTAAATTGTTGTTGTATAATGTAGCAAGTTGTTGATGCACTATTACAACACTATTTTATTGATAGTGTTAAAACAAGAAACCACAAATGTGTTTATGAACAATCATGCAATTTATGCTTATTTTATTTAACATTCATTGAAAGTTCTTGCAACAAAAAATGGAGTAGAGATAGACATTTCCCTTTATATTTCTAAATTTATTAACTGCGATAAAAAAATTATTGGAGTATGAGACACAGGAAATGGATTCTTTAGAATTATGAAGAGGAAGGCAACTCAGTCACGCTTTATAATTTTCTTGTTTTAGAAAACCTACAAGTCCATTTTCTTGGAAATTCTTATTTTTTTAGGGATATTAATAGGGCTTCGAGTAATTATATTCTATACAACTTTTATTTAAAATTTTCATTGATATGGGATTTACTGGAGGATCAAAATAAGTTTACAGGTGGTTAAATGACTTTTAATCACATTAATTATTAAGACCACTATATGATGTGTGAAGATGCAAAGTGGCAGATAACAGTCATGTGGATATCATGTCCATGATCCTTCAAATTGTGTCTTCTTAAGTCAACTTTCAAAACATTTTGGATGCATTACTCATCTATAGGGAGAGTAGGTGCTATGTGACTTGGATATGCTGAGTCATCAAGCACTTGAATTACCTGACATGACATGCTTTCAATGCCTGGGATGTCATCGTATTTGTCAACACCGAGGTATCACGGTGTTGTGCTGAGGTTAAGTTTAGCAACACGGCTCTATTTTTCACATCCATTTCGACAGTGAGCAAACATCTTCATCTCACCCACTCTGTACAACATTGAAAATTTTATGGAGTAACAATACAAAAACTTTATTGCCCTTAGGTCTCTCGTAAGGCAAAGAGGTATTTGGTACGAAACTCGGAGAACATGAAAGAAATATGTGATTTCACATAGAGTATTATCTCAACAATAGTGTCCCTATCCTTAGACGAACTAAAATTATGGGTACCCAAAATTTGATATGTACATGCTCTCTCAAAACATACACTATGTATGTAACATCCCGAAAATTTTAGAAAAAAACTTAATTATATTACTTGTTATATTGTTATAAAATAATAGTAATAATAATAAGGACCAAGATGACATAGGTTTTTGAATTCATATTTTATTTCAGGTCAAATAATTAAATTTTGGAAGTGTGAGTGTAAGTATATCAATATTGTACTCGTTGAATAGCTTGTAATTAATTATGCATTTTAGGCTCGGGAAAAAGTTAATTTGGATAAGTTAGGACCAAGATATTATAGTTTTAAATATGTAAGCTTTGTTATTAATTGAGTTGGTAAGTAATAGTATTTTAAATAATATGTAGCCACGTGTAACTTCCTTGCTTTTGATTAGGATTAAAAGGCTAATTGATATTTAATTAAAACTCCAACATGATTTCCCTTATTAGTTAGTTAAATTAGGATTGGAGTCAACCACAATTAAACGAGAATTTATGTGATTTCCTATTGTAAGCTGTCCACTTTTTTTTGCTCTCGATTAATAGAGAATAAATACTAGCTTTTTGGAAATTAAATACGAGTTTGATTATTTAATTATTTAAATTGTTTGTTTGCATTTATATAATCATGATTATCTATAATTTGGAAAGTTGAGGGATTAAGATGAAATATATTTTGGGTCAAATATTTGGAATTTGATAAGAAGATAAGTATATCAACATTGGGCTCTTTGGGTAGCTAATATTTAATTATGTATATTAGGCTTGATTAATTTAGATAAAAAAAAAAAACGAATCAAGTAATGGCCAATCAAAGAAAGTTATGATTAAATGAAATATTTTAAATGAATTATTCTCTTTGGTTAAACAGGTGACGACAATTGAGATAAGGAAGGATTTTAATTATACTTAATCTAAACTCTATTGTTTAAATTCCTGATGTTATTATACGTGGCCAAAACAGTTTCATTATATTTAGGCTTATCACCAATTTTTTTTAATAAATTTAATTAGCAAAAGATTTTAATATATGATCACGTTTATCGTTAATCTGATATAGATTGAATTATATCCAAATATTTAAACCTAGATTTATCCAAATTTGAATAGTAGTTCACCGCCTCTCAATTTCCAATGCACCAGGACTCTTTTTTTTTTAAGTATAAATATCCCGTATAAGTCAAGTTTCTCACATATTTTTCAAAGCAAAAAGCAATTCTCCATCAATAAATTCGTTCGAGGCAGTTGAGGAACTTTGGAAATTGGAATATTCTCTTGGATTATTCTTTCAAAAATTCTTCAATCTAACGAGGTAGGATACTATGTGCAAGTGATTCATCCTTGCAATATTATAATTTTTTTTATGTGATTTATTTCATGAAATGCTAATTGACCTGCGGGTCCTTATGAAATGAAATGTGAGATCTCCTTCGAGTCATCTCAAATATGTTAGAGTATTCGATTGATCACCGATTGCTCTTGATGGAATGATGGTATGGAATGTTGTGAATTCATGTTTTAAAAGTTATTATACTGTTTGGACGCACGTATCCTACTGAGTAATACTCATTCCTTCAATTTTAACATTTCATGTCAGATTGGTCAACGTGGACGGTGGCTGAGTGGTGGGTAGGTTGCCAAGTAAAAGAAATTTTTTTAGGAATCCATAATAAATTTGTTAAGACATTTTATGTTTCTCTTTAATTCCATTTATGACACTATGTTTATTTGATTCAGTGTTTGAGTTTCAATAAATTAAGGTTTTTAAGTTTTAAATTTTATTTTCGCTTGATGTATGATTATGGAATGATATCGGTAACTCCTCAAATTTTAAGTCAATAATATTTGGGGCGTTTCAGCATGGTATCAGAGCAAAATGTTCTACTTTCCTGTAGACTTAAAAAAAAAAAATTTTTTTTTTCGTGATTGGTGACAAAAAAAAAAGGGTAAATTTATTTTTCTATCTGAAGGTGAATGCTTGTTAATTCAGTGTTTTAAGCTTAAGTATGTGATAAATAATTTCCCCCACCATGTCACGTGTCCAAATTGTGAGTAGTTGCATTGTAAATCTGTGATGCATGCACATGTATATTAATCTAAAAGCATGATTCCATATTTTGTTACAGTTTCCATTTCAAATGTGGACTAATGACTGCCAGCTAGGACTTCATGTGACTACAATAATCTATTACCATGTGAGATGAACAACAAATATTTTTTGTTTGATATTAAATGTCTGTGTGGTTTAATTATTAAGTTGATACTTTTAAAATGCCGATAATTTAGAGTTAAATCATTATTTTGTCATTACCCATGTTTTACACTACGTAAATTCTTGTTAGCTCTACTTTTTGAGTAATGTTTCATGTTAAAAAAAAATATATAATAATAATAATAATAAAAAATAAAAAATAAAAAATCATATTTCAAGATATTTCACTCTTGATTTATTGTTTGAGCTTCCTTGACTTGGGT